GGATGCAGCGAACGGGTTAGTATTGTGGAGGTAAGTCGTCGTGTGTTTGCGAGTCTATCAGAGATAAACCTGCTAGCACATCGAATTCAGATTAGTAGTCTTCGCTGGCTAGGGCACTTGTTGCGTATACCCAGCTGTTGTCTGTCTCATCGCGCGTTATGCGCTGTAGCAGCTCGGAGCTGGAGGAAACTACGTGGAGACGAGGCATGAAGAAATGCACAGAACCATTAGGTANTTCCAGGTTGGGGTCCGAAAGACTCCACAACTGGTTGGTTGGAGACATTGACAGATATGGCAGCAATCAGCGAAGTTCGCTTCACTGTATTTCGCTGTACGATGATGATGATGTGGTTTAAATCGTGAATCGACTGTTTATTCTATAAGCTGTCCTGACATTGCATTCCACAATCTGTGAACTTGGCACACATTTAACCTGGAAATCCATCTTCGGTGATCTGAAGTATCGAAATACCAGATAGTTAAAGTACAATGAGACATTCATGCCGGCCCACGCGAGAAACTGGACTCTCGTTGGCTCGAGCCGCAATTCATGAGATCTGATCTGATCCGGAGCTAAGTTGGCGTTGCTTAGATACTATTGAAATACCTGCATAGCGTCTGATCACGCACTAGTCCTGATCAGCTTCACTCTTCAAGTCATTGGTTATCGACGAAGACCGCCTCAGTTTGTTCATCAGCGTCTGTGATCTAGTTGTTTGCGTCCGTAATATGAGGCTTGAACATTAGCTGAAGATTTAGTTTCTAAACTGCTGATGCTTGCGAATACGTACGTCGAGCAACGGACGAAAGAACAAACCAAAGCAATAACTACTGATGTCACGAAACCTCAACGATAGTTGTACTGGTATGGTCTGTAAATCCGAGAGAGAAGCGTACAGGTGAATAAGCTTGTAGAAAGTGAAAGTTAACGTACCGTGACGAACTAGGTGGTCTTGATCCGGTAAAACAACAAAGTCCGAATATTGGAAAAGTACATGTGCGACGAGGGTTGATGCTTGCTACAGAAGCACGGCAGCGCGTCGGAGTGAATCAACAGTCGAATCGAGTTAGATATGCGATGCATTCAACAAAAATGCTTTGCGTATGGAGCCTAACCCGGAGTTTATCCAAGATATTAAACCTTTCAGGTGTCAGACAGAACAAAAATGGAAGATTCCTGTCTGCCAGGATCGACGTGGAAACCGATGGCATCTGCGAAGTCAGCTCAGGAAAAACCTCGAGAACAATCACAAAGACTGGTGGACCAAAAAGCTAGTAATATGAAAGTAGCTTCTGCATCTGAGACCAGTCAAAAATTGTTCCGCCTGATACAGCACCGTAGTTCAACGCAAACCAGCAAACGAAAGCACTGACGATAAAAGTGCGTTGTGTCCGAATCCCGATTGATCACAATGTACACACAACAAGATATCACACGATGACACAAGGAACACATGTACATCAACGGCTACACTAGCCCCACGAGTACGATCACAGCACAGATTGGACGCCATGAGCACTAGTAGCCTTCTCCCAGCTACGTAAGCAAGAACACAGATAGTGCACAGCGAACGTGTACTTGACACACAGGAAGCAAGTCAATTTACAAGCTTATATGTGACTCAAAATAGCATCGATTAATGCACGAAAAAGATTGCGCCAATCAAGTACACAGTTAGCAAAGTTCAATCGGTCATAGGTCATGGATCCGACGGACAGACGGAGTAAATATTTCCGTACGACGCAATATTATTCATTATTCCCCGCGAGATTAGTATTGATTCGAAATGCCCCTAATTGAAAATATTCGAAAAATAGGCAGTTTTAGGTAAAAATAGTCTTTTTACCGAACAAAGTTAATGAGGCATCCAAAATAAGGAGTCGCAGCCGAATCGCCGGGCAGAACATGTAACCGAACAGTCCAGCGGGTCTGGTGTAATCGCGGTTATTTTGGTGGCTGCATCGGAAGCTCCGTGGGCAGCAACATGTGAACCCCATACAGCGTACAGGGCTGTGCAGGTATATGCACGCTTATCATGGGCGTATCTCATCTTTCTCTGGATCTCTTTATTCTTGAGAGATTGGGATTTTTAGGATATTTCGAGTAGTTTGGGTAGATCCCAGTCAGTTTGACATACACATTCCGTGTGGGACGTTGATGAGAGACTGGGTTCTGAAGTTGTCTAAACTGTTCGGTCTGTCTTTGCACTTTCCTCCAATTTTCTAGTTTTAATTGGTCTGTTCGCTTCCTTAGAATGGTTTCAAGTCGCTTCCTCTTACCCATATAATCTATATTAAATACTACAGCTCACCGAAGTGATGATGACTGAAGTCAAGCACAACTCCTCCATATATCGACATTTATCTTCCAGCGTTACTTGAGACCAGATTTAACCTAGATAGTGGCCTCTCGACGAAGTAAAAGAACTTTAAACCTGCTTTTGGTTTTGCAAAAGCTGGAGCAAATTGTTGCAGATTCAGTCCATTCCCCATCTGAAAATCGTTCCCAGCCTAGTCATACTAATCTCCAACAGATGCTTTCAGACTTCCTAATTGTAATTTCGATGATTATTACTGATTACAACAACTGTTGTTGAGGCGATAACACGGTGTCTTTTTTGGGGGTGGGGGTTACTTCTTATAAGAGTGCCACATTGATTTGGGTTGTTGCAGTTTTTATATGGCTTGTTAGG